CATCACACGAAGAGGACTCCGGACAAACCGGTGACAGCGGCAGGCACGAGGCGGACTTCGCCTTTGAGCCATCCACCGCTTCAAGTGACTGTTTTCTACCCCGACTGCCAGTCACGAGTGTGCCCTGAAGATGCCAGAGCCCCTTGCACAGGTACAAGCAAACAGCAGTTTGGAAGCACCCAGACCCCCTTGCCACGGGGGTACCCAGATAGTTACACAGTCCCCGCTCCTTTCACTCCTAGTAGAACTGAAGCGCTCCATTCTCCACTTGCAAAAAACAATGAAAATGAGATAAAAGAATTCCTGCGCTCCCATTCGGTCTCCTGCAGGTGTATCGATTGTTTTCTACCAACAACAATGAGCAGAATTGATTGCGTTACTCATTATTCTGAATCCAGAGAATTAAGACCCCCACATACCTTTCCTAACAGGAAAGTGTACGATCATTTATCAAAAGCAGCAGTTCCTAACCATGGTTATGTTTCTTAGAAGTTATTTGAGGGAAACAGCAGGTCTCTAAAAGCAGCGCAGTGTTCAGCAGCACAGAGAAATCACTGCAGGTTACAGATAATGATTTGTATAAAAATGAATTATTCCAAAGCAATGAAGGGCTGGTTTTACATGCAAGATCAAATGCAGCTGACATAAATCAAAATGACAGCCTCAAAGACTTGCAAAAATAACAATATTTCAATTCATAAATATTGCCCCTTTGTTTGGGTTTGACTGCAAGGAAATGAACCAGTGACGCTGCAGCATCAGTGGGACCCTTGCAGGGCCCTCCGCTTGGTCCCTGGTTCGGAAGAGTGGCAGTTGTGAATAAACAGAAACAAATATATCTGCCCTTGCACATATCACCCCTGTGGTGAAGGGCGATGAATACAAACGCTTTCCCATGCAGACACACTGATTTCAAACACAAACCAGTTTGTCACACCTGAACCATGCGTTTGACGCACAGTTCACAGGCTCACTTTGAAGTAACACCTGCACTAAGCCTGGGGACGGTGCTGTGCCAGCACATGTGCTCCACAGCCACCATGAGGGGCTGTGTTCACCAGAAACACGTGGCAAATGCAGGATGTTTTCCAGCATATTTCTGAACTGACATACCCAGATACACACCCCAGCACCTGACGTGCAGGCTGTCCATCAGGGTACCACCCAGCTCTCACCCATTCCATGTAACAAAAGCAGAGCACACATCTCTGCGGTGAAGAGGATGTTTCTAGAGAGAATCTGGGTGTAATTCTGCTGCAGTGCAGGGATGCTTTAAACCAAACCTGAGACGTGCACCAGGGGAGAGGGGTCCAAAACAATATACAGAAATAAGAAAGCCCGCGCTGCTTCCCACAGTCCAAGTGACTTCCATGCTCTGTTGTCAGAGATCATGAATTGCAGCCCACATGTAAAACAGCACAGTCAAGGCAATACACGGAGATGTCCTGAAACAAGCATGCCCTTGAAGTACCCCAAATGCTTTGGTCTGGTGTCACCTTCCCATCCTGTTCTGCAACATAACAAGATTCAAAAGTTCAACCTGCAAAGTGGCAACAGAAAGAACAAGAGCGGGAGCCCTGAAGTCAACTTTAACTGTGGCATTTATGAGTAACTAGGGCAATTATTTCTTCAATCATATCAAATTCCTGGTTAAAAGCATGCAATGCATTTTGCTGCCACATACAAATGAGGATTATTTTAACCTTCCTGCTCTGTGTCGCTGGCTGTCAGAATTAGCTTCACTGCTCACCTCCAACTGCCCTTCTCAAGTCATATGGACTCGCATATACTACAGAATACAAGTTCCATTTGCATTTGTGCCCTGGTTCGGATTTTTCACGATCAAAAGCACTGACTCCACTCCTCATCTCACCTCTAACTGCCTCTAACACTCCAGGAGATCAGCCAAAGGCGCCCTGCTTCCTCTGCTGAGTCCCTCCAGAGCTTTCAAACGAGTCTTTCAGCGCACATCCGCGGGTTTGCCATCGTGTGGCAGTCTAAGCCACACGGTCAGCAGAGCTGGCTGCCAGAGCCTGCCAGACGCAGCCCGGGATCCCTGCCGCAGGGACACAGGGAAGAGTTTGCTTTTTTACCTTTCTTTTCGCTCAGAAAACTGAAACGGGTCTTTGCACAGTCCTGCTCTAAGGCAAAAGAGAAAAAGAGTAGCTGTAGATGGCTGACGAAACAGAAGAGAACCAGAAAGACTCCAGAGTAAGCGTCTTTGCCTGCATTTACTGTTCAAAGTTCTGGCACTTCAGTTTATTTGAGGTTCTTCCTTCGGAAGTGAATTTCACAGGCCTGACAGTTTGGGTTCTATCACAAGGCAGGACACCACTGCCGGGATCCAATTCTGTTCTGTACTGAGCCATCAACCACCAGGAGAAAACCAGGCAGCCAACTAAAACAAACCCACACCAGCACATCTTGTAGCGATTTGGGTATCTCATCAGTCATCCACTCACATGAGGGACACTGAGGACCAGGAGCTGACCCACTGAGATCGCGCGCAGGAGCCTGGTGACTCCAGCAAGCCCAGTGTTGTCTTGACAGGCTTCCAGCAAACAGGAAAAACATGTTATATCTTGGTAGAAGCTCAACATACCATCTTCCACACCTGCCCTAACCAAGCCAGGTTTAGGACCTGACCACTCTTAATAAAAGGTTACTTATCAGGGGCACTCTCTGCCTCCCAGCACCCGGACGACATCACTGGGAGCTTCACACCACAGGTCACCACAGCATTGCCCGTGAATTGGAGCTCTGCTCTGCAGCAGTCACCCATCACTCGGCTGGCAGAGCTGGCCGCTCACCTTGCTCCGGGTTCCTTTGGGCACTGCCTCTGTCAAAGCCAGACCGCTGCTAACAGCGGGCCGAGAACTGGCAGTGGCTGAGGCAAAAATCCTTCCTTGTGTTTCCAGCTGGCTGCATCAAGGCTGAACTGGCTCAAAGTCAACACTGGTTTAAACATCTTGTCCTGCAGAGAACATTCACAAGCCCAGGGAAATGCCCTGCTCTATGCAGCTGCTCCCTTCTATCCTTAGTGTTTAAACACACGTGGCCAAAGCAAACACAGTGGAGCCCATGCTGCTCTCCATCGTGGTATTCGCAAACACCAGTCACAGCTAGAGGGCAAAAGCCCAGCACCAGCTTTAATAAAGATTAGAATTAATTTCTATTTGTGTGCTGCTGTTCAAAGGGAAACACCAGCAGAAAGGACAGTGTCGATGCAGTTTGGAGCTCAGGTCTGAAAGACAGCTGTGCGCAGAATTCAGCAGGATGCCGTTTTGCCAGGAGCAGATGCCGCACGGAAAAGCTGTTTACCTGCCACTAACACAGCCCACTGCCACTGCAAAACGTTTTCGGTTTAGAGCCCACTGAACAGCCTAACAACTGCTGCGCTACCAGGCCAAAAGCCGCACTGCACCGAGCAGCGACACAGGGGCCCGCACCCCGCGGGGGCAGGAAAGCAGAAGTCATTCTTTTACCCAAGCATTAAGCGAAAGCTCCGACCGACGGGAGCGCAAGCTCTGAGCTGCAGGGAGGGCCCGGCATCCGCACGGCCCCACAGCGGGACCCGCCGGAGAGCTCGCCAGCGCCGCTTTCCCCTCCCTGAGCCGGGGCAGAGCCACCGGTAACGCTGCCGTGAGGCGCTGCCGCCCGGCGGGGCCGGCCCCGGGCTCCTGCGGAGGCAGCCGCGCACCGCCCCGGAGCGGGGGCCGGTACCCGCGCTGCCCGCCCCGCTCCGCCGCCACCATCTTGTGCGCGGCCGCGGGGAGCCGCGGAACGGGGCTGTTCCTCGCTCCGCACCGCTGGCTGCAGCGGGACTGAACCCAGCAGCGCTTCCACCCATCGGCTCAAGGTCGGCCCCCCGATGCTCAGAGCTCCTTCTCCTGTGAAATAAGAGCGTTTATTGGGTAAATGGAGTCAGGTGTTAAACCGAGCGCGCTGGATGCGCTGGGAGCGCCGCTCTGACCGTGCCGCTGCAGCCCGGCCCCGGGCACGGACATCCCCGCGGTCCCCGGTGCACTGCGGGATCCGGGATGGATAAGGGAGAAGCTCGGCTGCGAGCATCGCCCCGGTGACGCGTCGGGATGAATGGGAATAGCTGACACAGCCAGGAGGAGTTGCAGTGGTTGAGAAACACCGTGATTACCGAAGAACAATAAACACTGATTTTGTAAATGCATATTTGCATCTGGGTCACTGTAAACAGTAAAACTGCCGGGCAACAATTTCACCTGATTGCTTTTCTCATACCCTGCTAGCAAGCTCTTAGGCCCAGCAAACTGAGATCAAACAGGTCAAATTGGAGGGAGGAGATCCACTGGACCGTTTGCGAGGTCTCCTCTGTGAATACCCCAAGGACCACATGTGTTTGTATTGCAGATCCTGCTATGATAAATGAAGCCAATCAAGTACCTGCTGTAGATTTATGCACTTTTCTGGAAATTAAACCCTTGGTACTCACTGAACAGCTGCAGGAGGAGGCACGTGGAAGTCCAGGAGCTAAACCAGCATAATTCCCAACCAGTGAAGTATTGCAGAGAAATCTTATAACCTACCATAGGAAAACAGAAACTTGGCCATAAATTTCCCTGTCTAGGCTTGCAACCTCAGCACGAAGTACATGTGAGCAGGCTCTTAACTCATCAGTCCCAGAGGCAGTACACAAGTTAAGGCTGCATTAACATTGCTTGTGAATATATAATGTAATAAGTCAATGCTTTGGGGAAAAAAATACCGTTTCCCCTGTTTGCCTTAGCCTGGTGAAGCCCCTGTGCTCTGTGCCACCAGTGGCAGCCTGCAGAGTACCCCACATCATTGCTTCACCTCACCTAATTAGAGTTTACCTTCTGCAGATTACAACATGGGATTAATATTAAGCAACAGAAGTGCTGCTCACCATCAGCCTGATCCTGAGAAGTGCTGAGCATCGTGCAGGGGAATTCTGGTTCAGCACTTCCACATAAGTAGGCTAAAAATACTCCATTTTGTACTAATAAAGTATGGTACATTTTTATAGCTCCAGGTTTGGGAAGGGCTTTCACTTCCTTCCCACAAATCAGACCCCAAAGGAACCACTGTGCCCACTAAAGTGTATGTAAGGAAGAAAAGTCTTTGGGAAATGCTTGTGACAGAGCAGGGCAGGGACAGTGTTAACTACAAAAGCCAGTGTAATTCTAAATCATTCAGCAAGTTAAACCCAGGGGAGGCACCGTGCTGCTGTGCTACAGACACACTTCACACCCTGACAAGTACGCTGCCCAAGCTGCACCTACTGCTGCATTCAGTGATGTTACTGATGGGTCGGGACCCGACCTGGCATACATCCCCCCTGCAGCCCCTGGGGTCTGGGCTGATTCAGAGGGCAGGCAGGTGCAGACAGGAGGGACAGTTGGTAGCAGAGGTGCAGGATTCACATCCGCAGTGAGATGTGCGCAATGTGCCTTTCCCACCTCCTAAACCCTGCGTTACAGCAGGGCTGTCTGCGGGTGGAACAGCTCAGTCTCCGCAGCAGGTCGCAGCGGCGGTGCTGGTCAGGCGGCACAGATGTGGCAGGGCTGCACGCCGCTTTCCTTGCACGCCGGGCAGCGCAGGGCCCGGTAGGACTCTCTGAACCTGTTTGCCAGCATTGAAAACTTGCTTCCGTGGCACAGGGAGCAAGGGGCAGAGCCCGACCCCTTACACTGGGAGCACCCATGTTCGTCATCTCCTTCCTGAAAGAGACAGATCACAAGAAAGATCTGTTACTGGATATCAGATGTCAAAGTCAGTAACACGCTTGAAAGAGAGAGTTGCTGTCTTGTAGTCTTGTAAGTAGTCGTTGCTCCTCACATGCCACTCTGCCAATAACGCTCAGTTCTCAACAGCAAGATCTTCAAGGGGACAATTTGCGGATACTTCTAGAAGATGAGAAGTTAACGTGACAGAGCTTACAACAATACATTCAAACTCATGTTTCTCCTGCCAGGCTCTGCACAGCACCTGGCTTCCCGACATTTAACACATCCCTCCTCCAGGCTCCGCATCCTCAGTTTGGAGCTTCATTTTCTGAGCATCTGTCCTTGCCCTCTCCCCACACATCCCTGACCACTGACAGGCCCAGCTGCTTTCAAGCTGTCCCTTGTGCCTGCACATCCCTCCAGGGTGCCAGACCTCTTCTTTCAGATCCCAGCTCAAAATCCAGTGCTCCCACAGAGCCCAGAGATATTGAATACCTGCACCAGGAAGAGTACAGCGCAGTGCAGGTTCACTCTGTTCAGAGTCCTGCATTGTTCCTGCACAGCCATTCTACTTTACATGGCACTATAGAACGAGGGTTTAACTAAGACACAGGGAACTGGTGCCTGATATGCTTCATATTGGTGCCTGCTTATGAATTTGATCATCCAAATTAATTCAGCTCTCGAAAGAATAACCTTGTTGTGGTTTGGTCATCTTTAAATGAATGCCCATAACACTAGAGTAAGTCCAACATTTTTCTTGAAAAATAAGTTTAGGACCTTCAAGTTTTACTTTTTGTTCCCAAACATCAAGAACATAAGTCCTTCCGAGGTTAACAAGTTTCTCCAGAACAATGCCTTACAGGAGCTGCTGTCCTCCAAAGCGTGCTCCTCAGTGAGGGCGACTGGAGGAAGGCAGTTACCTTATGGAGGTCCCTCTCCGCATGTATTCTCTCAAACTCGAGGTGATTTTTGATGGCTCAGGTAGGTCCTCAGTAGATGAACCTTGGCTCTTGTTAAAGCTCTTACTCTGAACATGTTTCCTTCAAAGCTGGCAAAGGCCAGTGTTGCTCCTCGGTTTCTCAGGGCTGTTGCGGGGTCTTTATGCATGAAGCCACAGGCAATTCTCAGGGGTGCAGGAGGACCAGGGTGACCTGCACCAGATTGGTCTCAGATCTGTGAAACTGGAATGCTTCATGTTTGCCCTTCACGACAACACGATGTTTTGTGGGATCAAATTATGGTCGGACTAATTGGGATTCTGACCAACAAAGACTAATCCATGAGAAACAAGTGGAAGGCACAACCTTATTTCGACTGATTAAAATGTTAGCCTCCAGCAGTCTCAGCCACAGAGCAGCTGTGTTTAGCCTGGTCAGGCTGGAGAAACCCTGGCCTGCTCTTATTCCAGTGGAAGAGGGTGACAAAGGATGGACCTAAGCCAAGCTACATCAACGTCAGCAGCCTCCAGGGGAAGACTCAAGTAGGAGACTTGAGCATCTGGAAAGAGGACAGTGGCCTCCAGAGCACATGCTGCAGTGCAGCATTGGTCAGTTATCTCCCGAGTGGAAACAGGAACAAAGCCACGCTTTTCATCCAAATTTAGTTAAGTGCCAGATGCAGGAATAGATGGGGCTTGGCTGGAAATACTCAACTGTAAAACCCAACAGCCTTAGGAGAAAAATAACACTTGCCATTCTCTTACCTGCACATACTGGTTGCAGACAACCTTTTTTTCCACATCTTTTCTATGTCCACCACCAAATCTTTCTTTCTTTTCCCGGTATATGAAGGCCCAGTCATTTATTCCCTCAGTCTGGATGATTCTTCTCATGAGCTCTTTCTGGTCCATCGGTGCACGGATGATTTTCAGGTTGTTTGTGTAGATGATGATCTTGCCAAAGTCTAGAACTGGGGAAGGCTGGAGAAGGATCTTATCAGTCTCACCTGTACAAATACACTCTACAACCACCGGTGGTCCCCAGGCTTCCAGACCATCCCCTCCATCTGGTCATGGGCTCGGCTGGCACTGTGGCATGACCCCCCTCCCCGCCACCCAGAGCAGGGAGCAGGACAGGGCCCAGAGAGATGGGCCGCAGATCGGAGCAGGACTTTGGTCAGGCCTTAGGAGCCTCACTTGAATGTCCCATTCTGGCTGGGGAAGGCTCTCAGGATGCAAGTTCTCATTCCAACCCATATGCAAGAGAAAAACAAAGGCACAATTCTAAGAGCAGTGGTGTTGGCACCAATGGAAAAGCAACCCCTGAACTGGGGACTGACCTGCTGCTTTGAAGGTTGAGTAGTTGGAGGGTGGGGGAGCCAGAGGGGGCTTTCATGGCTGTTGCCAGAAGTAGAAATTCCCCATGAAAGTGACCTAATCTGCAGCCTTTGATGGGGTTTTTCAGATTTAAAATAAAGCTTTTCTGTGTAATTAATGCTGGAAAAAGGGTCAGATCATAAACCATCCTCATTATCTAATGCTGAGCTGTTCCTGATACAGAGGAGCCAGCCTAAACAACCATCCCTGGGCTCACCTGGGTTTGTATTCTAGTGATTTGAAAGCAAAGCGTGGTACGGGTGAGCTCGCCTCAGAACACAGCGCTTTGCTACCTGGCCCTCTCCCCTCTGCACTGAGGATCAGGTGGCAGCTCCCGCAGCCTATTGCTTTACACACTCTTCCTATTTCCCTCTTTTTAAGTACCTGTGTCAAGCAGCGAAGCAGGAGACATTCCCATAGGGAAACACCCTGCCAGGGTCGCATGGGCCAGCGGCTCTCTTGGGAAACATCACCCACTGCACACTGGGAATGGGGCCGGTGAGGCCAGATCCTGCCCCTTTAAAGAAGGCTTTAAAGCCTCACTGTTGTTACACAGACTCGGTGTCTCCACAGACCGAATGCATGTTGATACTAAACAACACTGATACTGGGCACTGTGATTACTCAAGGTATTTATGGTTATGGAAGCCAGGGAACAGAGATGAGCATTCCCCAGGAATGCAGAACAAATTCATGTGTGGATAAGATCACATTGGTGCTCTGGCTGCTGTCAGGAGTCATGGTGGTGTGGTGTTTTCAGTTTAAGTAGATGTCCAATACATCAACTAAATGTAGTTTGAATACACGGGTTTCCTACCTGTGTAAGAAAATGAGCATAACCCATGTGTATTAACCAATTTAGCATGTATTACACATGTACTGGCTTTATAGTAGGAATAAAGAGACACTTCTGTATCAATGGCATTAATTATATGCTAACAAAACATTCAGTGAAACTAAGCTGGGATTTCCAAAGCAACCAAAGGGGAATTCTGATCTGCCAGGGGATGCAGATGCCTGGCTCAGTCTCACTGGTACACACTGCTGACACTAACCTTTTTGCCAGCTGAAGTCATGCACCTTCAGTGTCTTAGATAGAGCTAATTAATATCCACCTTACATTTGCCTGGGTTAGATGCATCGGGATTACTATGTACAGATACTTATATATATGGAAATACTGGTCTGCAAAATGGAGAGACGCAAACGGACCCACTAAGAAGCTGGAGCCCAGCAGATGCTGTTCGCTTGGTGCTGGCTGCTGCCGAGCACGCAGCTCCTGCCATTAGCAGCGAGCAGAGCACAGCGTGTGCGGGGTAAGGAGGTACAGACCCCTTAGGAAGGGGTACAGACCCCTTTAAGTCCTGGCCTGACCGAACGCGCTTTGCTTGAGCGAGGCTCAGCCCGAGGCTGCTGTCCCGTGCCGGGGCGGGCTCCCTGCCGCCGGTGCCGGCGGGGCGGCCGCACTTACCTGGCAGGAGCTGTCTGCGGGCGGGCGGTCGAGCAGAGGCGAGGCGCTGCCCAGGCCCAGCGCCTGCCCCTCTTTGAATATACTGACCCGCTGCGCGCTCAGCTTGGCCGGCGGGAGCAGCCTGCGCTCGGGCAGCTCCGCAGCGCAATGGTCCCCCGGCTCGAAGCAGTGCCGCACGAAGAGCCGGGAGTGCTCCTTGGCCGGGAGCTCCAGCTCCTGCCCGTCCTCAAAGACCTGCTTCAACACCCGGCCGCTGTAGGCAGATGATATTTTGAACCTCACTTTGCGGGGCCTCCCCTCGTGCCGAGCACCGAGCTTCTTCTGGGGCTCTTCCATTACCGGGAGCTCTCGCTGCGGCCCCTGGAGATCAACTCCAAGAGCTCTGGGTCCAAAAGAAAACTCTGCCCAGCTTCCCCCAGCCACACAATGCATAATTCAAGGTTTCTGGTAGTTCCTCTCATCTTACAGCAACACTGACACCACCCTATTAAATATTGATAGATATTCACAAAGAGAAAATATCAGCGGTAGTGAACGATGAGGCAGGTGGGTGAAGGGTGGACAGACCGGCTTGCCACTGGAAAGGAGCTAACGTGGGGAGGATCAGATTAAATAGGGAACTCTGCCCGTGTTCTGAAACCATGGAAATGGTTCTGCTATGTGCTGCGATAAGAACTACCCCAAATACACCATCCCAGCAGCTTTTCACAGCTTTCTGACAAGGTGAGAAGTTAAAAAGACAAGTTCACAGAAAAAGCAATCCAGCTTCACAAATAGCAAATGTGAATAATTCTTCCATTCTTGCACTGAATCCAGAGAGTACAAAGCTCCGTTTCATTTTAATCCAAATATGTTCCTCTACAGGTTGTGGAGATCTAATTAAGATTTTCTCTCTTCAGCTTTCAGTCCCTATTTGTAACTCCTGCTTCCTTCCAGGCCCTTTTGACCAATCTGGGTTTGCTTTTCATGTTTAACAGACAGTGCCCTACTGGGAGCTGCCAGTGGCCCCATCCGCAGCTCATTTGCCATCCCTCGCCTGTGCTCAGGGAGCTCAGAGCAGCAATGCCTCCATCAGGCGCAGCAGAGGTTTGCCAGGGGGCAGAGCAGAAGAAGCCGGGCCGCAGCCCTGGTCAGCCTGGTCAAGGGGCTTTGCTCTGCACCGCAGGGCTCTACAGGACGTGGGTTCCAGCTGCTGCATTCAGCTTCAATTCGGGACTGCATCCCCTCAGCACTCACACAAACCTGCACCCGCGGTACCTCCCCAGGACAGCCTGTCCCCACTGATCCCCACCAGTGACCCCAGACTGGTACCTTACTGGAGAGTGCCTTGTTCACTCACCGAGCCCAGCCCCAGCTGAGCACCTGTGACTCATCTTTGCTTCCAAGGGAAAAAACAGAGTAGGTTTGCTGCAAAATACATCAGCAGAGTGACTGCACCTCCTGGTACCTGTTTGTATCAAGCACACAGAACAGGAGTTAAAATCCCTCTTCTTTCACCTTCCATGATATCAGTACATTTCCACTATTAGATGTGGTTTTGTTGAGTGGGACTTAATCTAAGCTCTCTGCCTCCATTCTGCCAAGGCTATCTGCTGGTAATCCACAGCCGGTGCTTCTAAAGCTCAACATTCTCCATAGACTAATCTATTGTGTTCATTAAAATTTGCTCTCCAAATACCAGGACAGCAGCTCAGAAGGCTGGAGCCTAAGAACACACAGCACAGACCCCCAACCAACCGAGCAGCCTTCGTGGGCCAAGAGCAATTTCTGTCACGACAGACGCTGCTTGTGCAGGTTCCTGGGGCTCACCGTAAGCACACGTAGGAGATGCGTGTTCCTCCATGCAAACATGTATGAGCACGCCTGGGTAAACATTCCGCCACAGAGACGCCCTTTCCATTTCCAAAGCGCTATGAAAAGGTCCGTGTCAGTCACCCATCCTATCTCAAACAGGTGGAGCTCACATTACACAAAACCCCTGATTTGCATGAATCAAACTGGGCTCTCACTGCACTCAGGAAGCTCGATCCACCCCTTTCTCTTGTCAGCCCCATGTGACTCAGGCCCCAGCATTGCTGCTTTTCCGAAGGCACACAGCAGTCTCCATATGACACAAACGCTGCTGTGCCAGATACCTTAATTGAGGTCATTTTCTTTTGATTAGGGGAACAAAGAGGAAGTGAAGTTCAAAGCAGCAATGAGGGAACACAAGTGCGAGCACCATGGCTGCGAGATGAGCAAAGCGACTTTCCATCCCTTACAGTTACTTACAGGTGCTGCCAAAACACAACAGGTCTGCCCTGGCCCTGTAATCTTCCCCTTGGAACGATCCCACCCTCCACTGTGCTCTTGGCTGGGTTTGCTGCTCACTAAAACCCTTGGGGCTGCAGCAGGGGTGAAACTCATCCTTTCACCCCACAGTCCCATGCAAAGCCATGGTCAGCACGCAGAGCCTGTGATTTAGGCTTGCTGCAGGGGGACCCACACTCAGAGATGTAGGTATGGCCTTCTCTTTATGTCCCTGTGCAGATAAATCTTGCTAAGAAAAGACTTCCGAACAGCCTTTCTGCATTTCCTACCTGTTCTGAACAACCCAGGTCAACCTTCCCACACTAAACACCCCAAGCAGGGACACTCCAGGTGGTGTTGACCTGTCTCCAAGCCATACCCCTCTCACTCGAGCACTGGGGGCAGGCAGCAGAGCTGTGAGCACTGGACAGCAGCAGGATGGATGGATGAGCTGCAGGGATGGATGGATGAGCTGCAGCTGTGCCAGCACAGCAGCATTCATGCTGCACTCGCATGTCAGTGTGGGCTTGTTTCCCACAGCTAGCACAAGTCTTGCTAAAAATACAATAATCATTTTGCATTCAACAGTGAAATCAGTAAGTTTCATGATCTGGAGCATCACTGCACTATGCTTTGCTTCAGACTGTTCCACTGTATTATAATGGCATCTGTCTTTCAAGAACAGAGCCTCTCTCCACCCTTCTCCCCACATCAGCAATACCAAGCGACTGTTGGAAGCTGCAGGAGGCTTTGCACAACAAAGACAGTCCTTGCCCTGAGGAGTGTAATGTTGGTTAAGATGTATTGCAACAAAGCAGGGTATGTACAAAGAAGGACAGAAAAGCCATTGGGAAGTGGACAGCAAGGCTTTGAAGGCATGTTTCCACCTGCAAGTTTTGCTGAAAAATGTTTGGTTGTGTTTTGCTTCCTCCTCAAGCAAGCACTGCAGTCCTCCTCCTCATGAAAGCAGAGGGTAGGCACAGATCGGGATGAGGAAGAGCTGCATCAATGCCCAAACCCTGCTATTCCCCACTGTGCTGTATTCTGAGCACACACAGAATCTTAAAGCAAGGTCTGTGGGTCACTGCTGGAGAAAAGAAAAAAAGGGCCTGAGCAGTATCAGGGGCCACGAAGAAGGGCAAGAGGTCAGGGATGAGAGGGCAAGCTGGATATGAAGGAAGTAAAGGAAAAAGGTAGAAGCTTAAAAACAAGGACACAAGCATAAAACTTGCTTCTGTGTGGGAGTAGCAAGCAGAAAGTTCAGAGCATCAGGTCAAGAAGGTAATTTTAGCTGGTAACTTAAAGGAGTTAGAGCAGGTGGTGTGCGTGATGAAGAGGCCAGCAAGTAAAGGCAGGAGAAAAACTGTGCTGCATGGAGTCATAAACAGAGCTGCTTGCTTACAACCTAATGACAAGGTTTCATTTTGGAGCTACAGTAGGAAAAACTCACTCACATGTAGACACCTCTTGGACGCAGAGAGAAAGAAGGGAAGGAGTTACTAGTTGCAAGACTTAATGGTGGGAAAGGCATTGGGCATCACCCCAGTGAACGAGGTGGTGTGAGGAGTAGTGTCCTTCAGCTTCTCAGTTGCTTTTTACCTTTGGTGTATTCAGAGGTGCTGATCACCACCAGCCCCTGGTGAGCAAACCCTGCCATGGGGGTTCTTAATCATCTCTCATCCTCCATCCAAACTTCTTGTTACAAAGAGAACTGAAACCTGTTGTCAGTTCACCCCATAGAGGCTCAGGGATTGGGACACAGCAGAAATGACGCCGGTATCGTGGCAAAAGCTGGTAGACATGCATGCAGCAGCTAAGGGAAGCCTGATTTTGTGTGGGCTTAGCTCATGGCTGGATTCTCTGATGTCTGTTAAGATACAAACATCCTCCCTTGTTTGAAGCGCATTTAACGTCTCCCATGGGGAGCTGTGAGCATCTAATTAGAGTTGAAGCAAGACGCGAAGTCGCGGCGCATCATCCCCCTCCACCGAGGGGCCGACGGGGCTCCGTGCCGCCGCGCCAGCCGCCCCCTTCCGCGGGAGGCGCAGGGCAGTCCCCGCTGGTCCCCCCCGCTGACCCGCGCTCACCGGTTACGCGGTGCGGGGCTGCGCCCGCGCCTCCCCGTGCCCGGGAGGAGCCCAGCTCCCAGGGCGGCAGCGGGGAGGTCTCGGCGCGGCGCTCGGCGGGAGCGGGGCCGCATTCCTGCGGGCTGAGCTCAGCACCCCCGGAGCAGCGCAGGTCCTGATGAAAGCGGCTTAGCCAGCACCCACCTCAGCCCCGAGACTCCGACCCGGGCAAGGAAGAGCCCTGAGTAAGCACAAAAGTCTTGAAGTCACAAAGAAACAAAAACCAGGAAAAAGCGCTTCAAAGCGGGGAATTCCCGAGGGCTGAGTTTTACCTGGGGAGGCAAAACTGCTCTGGCTCATCGCAGGCAGAGCATCCCCAGAGTGGAGCTGGAACACGTGTGTCCTGGGCAGGGAGCAGAGCAGCAGCCGCAGCAGAACTGCCCAAGCACCACGGGACACACACAGTGGGGAAGAAGCCATGTGAGGGCAATGGACCATTCTTAGAGAACAACCACCATCAGGGATGAGCCTTGAGGGACACTCACCTGGGCCATGGCTCCCAGATGCCTGCAGACATGGAATCTGGTCTGCCCACATGGAGTAGCTACCACAAGAACTCCAGCTCCACTGTGCCTTTCTACAACACTGCTCTTCACTGGGCTCACCAGCAGCCTGGATCCTGCTCTCCAGACCCCATTCCACAAGGAGCAGTGCTCCACAAGCAGAAGGTGGTGGGAAGCAAACTCAAACCGGCCCCCCAAAACCACACCATGACCAACCACAGCAGCACACAGCTGAGCCAACTCCTCCCCAGTAAAGCAGAGACCTCCACAGTGATCTATTACATACCCACGCTCAGAGCCCCCGAGCAGTGGTTTTATAGCTGGGTTGTCTGTGCTGGCCGAGCTGTGGGCTCTGCTCTGGGCTGCAACACTGCCAGAAGCACCGGGGAATGCTAAAAGGTGATGCACCCTTGCAAGCAGTGTATTTGCATCTGTGTTTAATGAGGTAATTGAAACCTGATGCTTACCTGTGATCAGACCTGCATGAAGAACAGCTGAGAAGTGCTCAGAGCAGCCTCCAAAAGTCTGTTAGGTGGTGCTCAGGTGTAGTGCTACTTGGGAATCCTTTATCTTCCTGTCCTAAAAAGTGAGAATTGCATCCCTGCAGTCAGCCTTTATCAGACAAACCCCAGTGACGCAGGATTTGGTGCTCTGTCCTGTGGTTCTTCACTGCACTGTAGGGAAAAAGGGATGAATGCAGCAGAAAGCAGAGCCAGAGCCATGGCAGGATGGTGGAGTGGAGCCTGCAGCAGCCACCGGCCTGGCTTTGGTTCCAGGGCACTGTCTGCTGGTGCAGAGACCAGGCAGCAGCAGCAGCAGCAGCACTAGGAGGAGGTGAGGGTGACCTCCATGGGTGCAGGGAGGATGGTTTCTATCCACTCGCTGCTGCCTGGCCCAGCTCCACCGCCAGCTGCTTCTAATGACACTTCAACAAACACATAACATTCTGTCTTAAGGAAAATCACTGAATAAATTCCATTTAAAAATACTTCTCTATTTCTGGGTAGGCGCCACTCTGCTCCAGCTACTTCAGAATAGCTGAAGCCTTCAAGTTACCCAGCAGAGAGACTGCACAAGGCTGTTTTGGGCAAAATACAGCACTCGGCTCCCCGTCAGACTAATAAACAGCTCCCTGAACCACTCCTCCTGCAGTGGTGTACATGGCTTCCCAGTGTTTGGGTTTGCCCACCAGCTGCCGCACACCTCAGGAAGGGAAGCAGGTGAAGGACAAAAAGCAGCAGTGGGTCCGTGCAGCTGCGGGTCCCTCCTGGTCGCCCTGGGTCACTCCTCCCTGGGAGCCCCCGGTGGAGGGAGCAGGGAGGTGTCCGCTGCCCTCGGACACAGCAGGGGATGGTCTGGGAGATGGGAGGTTTTAGGGAGGCTTTTGCTGTACTGGGGGCAGGACCCAGTGCTGGGCACATCCCTGCAGAGCTGTGATGGCCCCATTACAACTTAGACTCATAGAGTGGTTTGTGCTGGAAGGGACCTCAAAGCTCCTCCAGCTCCAACCCCTGCCACGGGCAGGGACCCCTTCCACTAGAGCAGCTTGCTCCAAGCCCCTGTGTCCAACCTGGCCTTGAACACTGCCAGGGATGGGGCAGCCACAGCTTCTCTGGGCACCCTGTGCCAGCGCCTCAGCACCCTCACAGGGAAGAGCTTCTGCCTAAGATCTAGCCTGAAATTCCCCTGTTTTAGTTTGAACCCATCACCCCTTGTCCTAGCACTGCAGACCCTGATGAAGAGTCCCTCTCCAGCATCCTTGTAGCACCCTTCAGACACTGGAAGCTGCTCTGAGGTCTCTGTGAAGCCTTCTCTTCTCCCGGCTGAACAGCCCCAATGTTCTCAGCCTGCCTCCATACGGGAGCTGCTCCAGCCTCTGATCATCCTCATGGCCTCCTCTGGACTTGCTCCAACAGCTCCATATCCTTCTTATGTTGAAGACACCAGAACTGCAGACAGTGCTGCAAGTGGGGTCTCATGAGAGCAGAATAGAGAGGCAGGAGCCCCCGCTTCGACCTGCAGGAAGTGTTCCTGCTCCTGTCTTCAAGCAAACGCAGTGATTTCCTCAGTCTGAGGATTAGCCTCATCCTGTGCACCAAGCACAGTGCCACTCCTTGCCACAACCAGTGGCGTGTGGTCCATGGGGAGCAGGGCAGTGGGTTCCTGACCTGATGCTGGGGTGGTCCCCATTCCCCTCCTGACCCCCAGGGGCATGGCTGGGTCCTGCCATTCATCCCCCTGCAGCTGCAGCACTGGCGCTGTGCCTGGGGGTGGGTAGAAGGACAAGCTGTTAGCTTGTGATCCATGATTTATAGCAGCTTGCAAGAGGCACCCCCTCTGCCTGCCCTCCAGGAGCTATAAACAGCCTGAAAGGTCCCTCTTTCGGAGGAGGAGGCATGTGGCATCCACTTGTGAGATACAGAGGCTTTTTATAACCCCGGGAAGCGCTGCCGGGCCGTGCCCTCTCCCCGCACACACGCGCCAGTGCTGCAGCATTCATTCAACCACAGCCCAGCTAAAATATGTGCGATTCAGAGATGGGAAAAGGCAAAACCTTCTCTCTGGTGCTGTTGTGAGCTGGAGGCTCAGCCCCGAGCTGGTGGCCCCAGGGGAGGAGGAGCTGCACGCACTCAGGTGAGCACAGAAATCCCTCTGACATTGACCCAGAGGAACCAAGCGGAGGAAGGTTTGAGCGAGGTGGTGGGACACACGGAGGCTCCTGCAAGGCACTTGCCACGACAGGCTGGAGAGCACAGACCTCGTGCTCCTCACCATGGCCCATCTTGCCGGGCCTGGGGAGGCAGCAGCAAGAAACTGCCATCAACCCTCAGTGCTCTCAGGGTCACAGGGCTCATCTCCACCACGCTCTGTGCTGTGGACACCAAGCCTTCCCCTCAAGGAGCACATGGATGTGTCCCTGCATGGCTGGGCACACTCAGCCTGTCCCCGGGTCACGGACGTGCTCATGGACAGCATGGCTCTGTGGGACAATGGGGACAAGGTGCATTTGCTGGTTGGTTTGGGATCTGTTTGAGCTCTTTTCTGACTCTACCTTGGAGGGGGGGAAGCCGCAGCTCCCTGGGCAGACTCTTATGCGCAGCGAGGACAGCACATCAGAGCAGAACAACTTCTGCTCTGTGTCTCCCAGTTTCCAGCTTCATGATAAACCTCTTCAATGACGAGACTCTGGCAGTGCATATTTCAGCACTTCCATCCCTTCGATACAAGGCATCCCGGCACTGGTGAGTGCAGGAGGCCTCCTGCAGCCAAGTGGATGGGATGCAGCCGGTCACACGTGGCAGGAGGCTTCTGCAGCATCCTCCAGAACAGGCACCCTGCTGTGTCCAGCCACAGTTAATTACAGCATCGGCAGCAGACAGAGACGTTCTAAATGAAAGGGAAGCACCTGCAGCTTCCCAGCTCTGCCTTTATCTTCTAACCCCAATTACGAGATGCACTGCGAGGGAGAGGCGGTGGTAGATAATAAAGTTCAGTGGGATGGTCTGGGTGTTCAGTGGAGAACCAGGAAAGCCTCGCATCCCGATCCCAAATGGGACATTGATATGCTCTCTGTGTGTCCCCTGGTTTTCTCCAGGTAAAGTGGGGGTGATGCTTAGCCCGAGGGGTGTTCCAAGGATGAATTAGCATTTGGAAGCGCTTTGAAGATTCGAAGTGTTACATAAATGCCAAGTGTTAGCATGACCAGCCTTTCTATTGCAGCAGAACCCAGAGACTGCAATCAAGATCAGAGCCTTGCTTTGTTGTACCAGGCAATTTAGAAACTGCTGGTTGGAAAAAGTCCCTGTCCCAGCCCCAGGCAGGCGGGAGAGGGGCTGGAAGCCCTGTCAGGGGGATGGAAGGTGGCATCCTCAGGAGAGGACAGCACAGCGCTGCAGCAGCCAGGGAGGGGATGGACCCAGCTCCTTCAGGAGCCCAGAGGGTAACCACTGCCTGCACCAGGCAGCGCACACCAGATCCCCCTGGAGCCCTTGGATGCCCTCAGCACGTGGGATCCCTGGGATCCCTGGCCTGGGCCCTCCTGCGGTGCCCACGAGGTGACTGGGGTTTCCCTTGGGAATTCTCTGGGAACCGTGTGTTGCGAACACAGGCTCTGCTTCTCACGGCAGAGCTACAGCAGCCTGGCTCTACTGGATAGGAAAAAGTGAGCAAGTGCTCACAGGACAGATCTGACCGGAGATGAGCATGAAGCAGCGTGCACAAAACCAGCCATCCAACCTCATTTCCATCCCCTGCCCACCACAGGGTACTTCATCCTTGTTTCCTTTCTAACCAGATGAAAATACAGCATGAGTGTTAATCACAGGGCACAAATAGGGAAGAATATGTAAAAAGGAAAAACAACCTTCCAACCCTTTGTTTTCTCTCTCATTTATGTCATGCATTGCATTTAAAAACGCCAGCAGATGACATGATGCTATTTGCAACATCATTCATTAAAAAGTATGCGCTCAGCCAGCCAAGCGCAAATCAACAGACTACAAAGAAATACCAAAGTCAAAGGGAACTTGAGATGAAACGCAGTGAGGTCACTGGTTTCTGCATTATCCTGAAGATGTTTGTCAACATTTTAATGTAGCCAAATGGGCACATTCAAAAACTAATAGAATGAAAGAAACCCCTTTATTCTGACAAAATGGTGATCCAGGGGGAAGAACCTAGAACCGTTTTGAACCGTTTCCAGTCTGCAATTGTGAATGAGTCCTCCTGAGAAAAGGGAAGGGAAGTTTGTGCAGTCTGATGGCGTTATCTGTGAGAGGCTCAGGTAGAAACCACTCCCTCAGGTTTACAGCCTTCTCCTCTAACATTTGTAGCACTTGTAGGTTGTAAGCACACCAATGGGATGTAGCAGCCTTTGTAAGGAAAACTATCTCAGGCCTTTGCACATCTACTGCTCTCCTTTGGCAATCCATCAGGAGGTGCAAGGCAGACTCCAGACAGCGATTCAGCTGAGAAAGTGCATGGGAATCACAGGTCCCATGAAACCCCCCTGGCCTGCCTGTGCCATGGCCAGAGCCTCACTGGGATGAGAAGGAGCCTGTGTCAGACCCTGCACTGCTGCCGCTGGGGTCTCACTGCAGCTCACGGGAGTGCTGGTGGGTGCTGAACACACTCAGTACCCAGCTGTGGCCATCCAACCGCAGCACAGAGCCATCACCAGGAGCAGGACAGCTGGGTGCTGCTGGAGCCCGCAGTGATGGCACTGACACACACCTCTCGTCCCATGGAGCAGCTGCTGCTGAGGCGAGCATCCCTAGGAACGAGTGCTGGAGCAGTCGCTCCCTGTTTGGGACGCTGGGCTGAGAAAGCCAAGGCTGGGTCAGGTCTGCCACTCACTGCCCACCCCAGCAGCCACCCCAGCACCTCCCCATGCAAAGGGTCCCCCTCGGCACACAGCAGGCACTGGCTTCCCATCGGCACTGCGGGGCCACACAGCCACCACAGGCCCGGACTTGCATCCACCGTGGCGTGTGCTTCAGCCCCAGCCAGCGCCGGGGGAGCTGAACAGGTTGAGTGACTTCAGGCTGTGGGAGGAATAATCGTCTTGGGTTGCTTCAGAGAGCTGAGGCAGCCAAACCGGGCGAGGATGGCACTGCGGAGCGCCTCAGCCTCTGCCAGGTACCTCGGAGGGTTTGCGTTTGAAGGGTTTTTATAGCTCTGCTGTCAGAACGGGTGGCGAGCGAGCTGAACTGGGACCAGTCTGGGAAGCGAGGCAGTGGGTGGGTGTATGAGGGATGCGTGCAGAGAGCGGCTGCCTCCAGCCGGAGCCCAGCCTGAACGGGTCCAGTCTGATGCTTATCGGGGACTCCTGTCTCCCGAGCTGGTGAATTCTCCACTGCTGTGTCAGTTGTGATCCACAGACCAGGGAGCATTAAAGACACCTCGAGAGCAGCCCCAGTAAGGCTGAGTGTGCCTGTCCAGCTCACCCTGCTGAGCCCAGCCAGCAGGACCTGTGCTCCTGCCCCAGTGCCAGCCCTGACGCTGCCCCCTTGCTATCCCCTCGAACACCATCCATCCCCTCGCACGCACTGAGTCACAAGTGACTCACTTCAAACTTGGATGCGGGCGCAAAGTATACATTTGCAAATTGGCTGGTGAGGCAGCGCTTCGCAATGTAGGTGGGATGTATTACATACTCCAGCAGTCAAGTTGTGCTCTCTCCTCCCTCCTCCCTCTCCCTCCGTGCAGGATAGCTGCCTCAGCCCAGCGTGCTGGTGCAGTTCTCGCAGGCGCAGCAGGGTGCCTCAGCCTGCTCCAGTGGATGTGGCGTGCGGATGGCTCCGGCTCCGCGCTGCACTGAACATGGATGATTTAGCTCTCCTCGACCTGCTGGAGTGCCCTGTGTGCTTTGAGAAGCTCGACGCCACGGCCAAGGTGCTCCCCTGCCAGCACACATTCTGCAAACCCTGTCTGCAAAGGATCCTGAAATCCCAGAAGGAGCTCAGGTGCCCCGAGTGCAGGACCCTGGTGCTCTGCAGCATCGAGCAGCTGCCCTCCAACCTGCTCCTGATTCGCCTCCTGGATGGCGTCAGGTGTGGACAGAATGTGGCCAGGTTTGGCTCCATCCAGAGGACCGGGCTCCTGTCATCGCCTGCCTCCATCAGGAGAGTCCCCAGGGGGCTACAACTCCATCAGCACCGGCTGGCGACCAATCCCAGGCTCCACATGGAAGGGGTAAGGAGAGTCCACGTTCTTTACTGTGTCCGTGAGCAGACAGCTTTCTTCCCGTGTGCCAAGAGCTATGAAACTTCCCTGTTAGCAGCCCCGCAGAAATGTTTGAAGTGAGGGAGATCACTTTGCAAATCTGGCGGCTGTGTCCTTTGATATTTGACTGTTTCGGGTGCAGCACAGCAGTGATTGCATTGGCTCTCAGGCTGACACAAAGCCAGGCTGCCCTTCTGACAAAACCTTCATAGATCTGTTTTCCCCAGGAGTTTTCAGGTGCTTCCTGACTTCTGGGGGGCATTTGAGGCACCTTGACTTCAGGGCAATATACTGATTTGTGAGTGATAGCAATTAAATCAGTAATTGCAAAGCTGTAACTGTTAGATGTGGAGAAAGGTATTTCCCATCACTGCACCCCAGTTTCCCCAGCATTAAAAAGGAATGAGTGACTAATGATGCTTGTGTCCCTGGCACAGTACTTTGAGGTTCACTATTGAAAACCATTAAACTTGAGTTACTAACTGTATCTAGGGAGGTTTTTAAGTTGTTTCTGTCATTTTCTTCAACAGTACAAAAGCTTTTCTTAACTAATGAGGACATGATATTAGAGCTGTTCGAGGAGGCTGGCTCAGATGGAATGTGGGGTAGAGACTGAGATGTGGCTTCACCTCTCCTGCTCTGTATTCCTGGGTTCCCATTTCTCCCACCTGAACTATTCTATGCAGCATCCGTACAAACCTTTCCATAACATTCAAAAGCTTGGCTCAAGTGGCTGTTCAATCTCAGGGCATTTTCAGGATTGCAGAGCTGTAAATGTCAATGCAGACATAGGGCAGGTTTCCCCCCCACACGCTGTTGTGGTTCATGTGTGTGCTTGGCTGTGGAGTATGGAGAACCCCTGTGTCCCGTGGGTGCAAACCGGTGTGTTGTCCCAGGGAATCTCTGTGGCGTTAGTAAATCATCCCAGGTGGATCACACATCAAAACCAGACACAAGCATAGAATGGTTTGGGTTGGGAAGGACTTTAAGAACATCCACTTCCACCCCCTTCCACGGGCAGGGACACCTTCCACTGGACCGGGTTGCTCAAGCCCTGTCCAGCCCCTCTCTGGTTTTCCAATTGGAAAAGCAGCACTGGGACACATCAGGGAGAACCCTTGCCATGAACCAGCTCTGCAGGGAGTGGGGATTGCTGGTGTGTTCGTGTGAGGTCGAACACTCAGACAGCAACAGCTCTCTCACCCGTTTCACCTTCCCTTTACCAGTTCTCAGGACAGGCAGGAACTTGTTGCTGATGCTGTGTAATGGCAGCATCCACTGCTGAGCTCCCAAAAGCATTTTAAGACCAAACTTCTGGGAAATTCTTCCTTGTGAGGGTGCTGAGGCGCTGGCACAGGGTGCCCAGAGAAGCTGTGGCTGCCCCATCCCTGGCAGTGCTCAAGGCCAGGTTGGACACAGGGGCTTGGAGCAAGCTGCTCCAGTGTGGGGTCCCTGCCCGTGGCAGGGGCTGGAGCTGGAGGAGCTTTAAGGTCCCTTCAACCCGTCGCCACTGTGGTTCTATGAATCGGCAGAGCTGCTGCGCGCTGGGTGCGGGCTGCGACTGCGAGTGGCTCCTGCAGTACCAAGATAGCCTCCGATTTCAGGTGCTCTGTGGTGGAGCGATACAGAAACGCGCTACACTGAAACACCCTTAGCCCTAATTAGGTAATTAATTAGAAAACACCCTGGAATCCTCAGCTGCAAGGTGAAGAATGCAACGTGTTAGTCACGGTTTGGTTTGGTGGTTTTAAACCCCTGCAGACGGGAGCAGGCGTTACCTGTGGTGCTCCAATGGGGTGCTGCTGCATGCGGACCCTCTTCAAAAGTGGTACCTGCTGACAGCAAGAGCCAGGACTCCTTTGGACAAGGCTGGGCTGAGGGTGACTTGTGTCCTGCACCGTGGAGTGCTGGAGCTGGGGTATTCATCTGAAGTGGTTGGGGTGAGCGGTGGCAGAGCAGGTGCTTTTGTCAGGAATCTCAGTGGGAACAGCTATCGGGAGCCTGCTGCACCACAGCTGATCCCCCAAAGCTGTTTTCCTGGCTGCTCTTAAGTGCAGCATTCATTTCCAACTACAATGCAAGGTGCTCACCAGAGAGACTGTCCCCATCTCGCAGCCTGCTAATTACTGCTAATGCTATACAGCACTTCATGCTACAAAGCAAGTAAAATTAGGGTGCACCATGCTGCACTGCAGCCAGATATGCCATCCAAAGCAGGATGCAGGACTTGTTTTGTTTTTACCAAAGAAGCTGTTCTATAAATAAACTTCCTTTACTCCATGGAGCTGAGAAAATCTCAAGTTTGATCAAAGTTTCTCTGCTCAGCAGAGGTGTTTCCTTGCCAACTTTTTGCTCTTCATCCTCGTGAACATCCATGAAGGCCAAAAACTGAAATAAATCCCCTCATCACCAAGCAGGCCAAGATCTCGTACCATTCTGAGAGGGAAGCGTGAGCCAGCTGCAGCAGAGCTGCTGAATTAGCAGCAATTCAATACCTGGGTTTCAGTCAGGAATTTCACAGAGCCAGTCCTCAGTAAACAGGCAATATTACAGTTACAGCCCATCCCAAACTCCTCATTTGCTAGCACTTAAATCACTTCTGAATTCACTTCCTACTTGCTAATCCAAGGTGGGCATAGCCTGGGTTTGTGCCCATGGGCCCATGTGTATGTCTCTGTACCCAGAATGTGCCTCTGTAAAGACCGACAGTGCTGCACCGCGACCGCTGGCACTGCCCAGTACCTGCTCCCAGGACACCTGTCCAGGCTTTAGGATCTCCAGCATCTATGCAGAGAAGCCAAGACTTTGGATTTTCAGGATCTCCTCATAATAAACTGTCTGGAATGTAAGAATAAAAGGATTTGCTAGGAGGTGAATGCGTAAATAATCTACGCTGAAGCCTTTGAACTCTTAGGAACCGCCCCTGGCGTGTGCCAGATGTGGTTACGTCTTGTGCTGAAGCATCCTTCTTATCTGGCTTCAGCCCCAGTGTCAGCTAAACACAGCTCTGCCGCCGGTGAGAGAACAGAGGCTCCTGTGTGCTGAGCTGTACACGAAACTCCCATAGTCCCTGAGGAGCAGCAGGCCTAAACTGTACCGTACACACAGCAAAAATCACCCAGGCCACTGAACAGCTATTTGGATGATGAACTTTGTCATGCAACAAACAGGGCAGTGAGCCAGAGGAGAAAAGCTGCGGGTATGACAGCTTGCCTTTGGAAAACACAGACCACACAAATCTAACTGTGACTGGCTATTTTCTCTCTGCATGAACTGAGTGCTGTAACACCCCCCTCCAGCATATCATGGGAGATAGACAGATAACACCTCTATTGAGATAAAAATACACTGCACTCCAACGTCGCCACCTTCACACGGATGTCTATACATAGTGCTTGTGTCTTGATATTTTCTTCTCCTCCAGAAACATCTCCAGCTCCTTTCTGAATTTGACAGACAGGGCTTGGATTACTGGATCTTTTTGAAACCTTATTCAAAGCAACCTTCACGTTTGCTTTGAAGGAGGCACTCACTGTGCAAACCACCCTCCACACCCCCAAAAACACCCAGCAGTTCCTGTGCAGTCACAGTAATGACCTCATCACGCGTGTCATACCATCTTGGGACGGACACACGTTAAACCGACGTCACAAACCCGGGACTCAGCACAGGAGCATTGGCACAGGATACCATCATGTGCCTTTTTTGTCCCTTGCATGTAGTTTCAGCACTTTCATCTACTGCAGAGAGTGAAGTCACCCCCATACAGATTGCCTGGTGATACACACCCCAAAAGCTTGTGCACAACAACAACAGGTTCACAAGCACAGATGCAGGAGGCTTTGCAGTAGCTGTAAGCACTGCTGCAGCCATGGGGAAGGGTTGGTGTTACACCGGGACGCTCGTTCGATGCCGCAGGGACCTGCGGGCCAGCCCCAGGAGGCAGTTTCCCTGGGTTCACACCATTAGGTACCGAGCTGCAAACACAGGAAGTGTTTTAACTTGTTACCACGGCAGTGAGTCAGGCTCAGATGCGAGTCAGAATAGAACAGCAGGGCTCCGCGGCGCGCTCACCTGCTGAGCATCCCGGTCAGCCAGGACCATGCAAGCCGGAGTCCTCCTCTCCCTGCAGGCTCCCAGCTGGCCCCGGGTCTGTGAAGTTGGTCATTGGCCTAAGCTTGTAATTGGCCCCTCTGGAGGGAAGGGAGAGGAGCAGACACGTTCATGGGCAGCACTGCCAGTGCACCAGGGCTGGAGCTAAGAGGTGTCCCGAGAGCTGAGGCTGGACCTTGGGGGGGAGAAGGCCCATTCACTGCTGCCATCTAAACCTTGTCTTGCTCCGCTTTACTGCACCCGGGGAAAACTGCAGCACCTGCACTTAAACACTGCACTTTGTTCTGCTGTTACTGATCCTCAGGGATCCAAACTCCGTTCAGCACCAATGTGTGCAAGGCCCTGGGAGAATTAATAATACATGAGCTTTGTTTTTAAGAAAACCTTTTCTCTAGCAGCTTGTAAGTGGACATTTGAGCTGCTCCTGATTTAGGGAACCTCCATTTTGCTTTGTTGTCAGGATGGGAGACATGGGTTAGGATGCTGGTTTTGACAGACAGGCTTGTGTCCTTTATCAACCCGACTTCTTTGAGAGGGTTCCCTTTGGGCCATCAAGAACTGATGAGCCCAGAGCTTCTCACTGGCTTTGCAGTGTCCAGCCCCAGGTCTGGGCAAGACGAGGATGCCCAAGGCCAGGCAGGCAGCATCCTCCCAGTCCTGGCCGGTGGCTCAGGCAGGGCACAGTGGTGGGCGCTGTTTGATGCTCATTTACCAAGGGGATGGCATGGATGGGAGGCAGCAGCTCATGGGAGATGCCTGTCACTGACCACACACTCCCCTGCGACCATGTGAAAACTGAGCCCTGGGTTGCTGGGCAATCGGGAGGCGCAGGGCAGCTTTGAGCACAGGTCCCCTCC